TGAAGTAAAGCATAATTTGTATATAAATAAATAAATTTAAATATATTAAACTCAATAAATTACGAAATATTACATGAATGAAAGGTTTAAATAAATATTATAAACGAATTGATGCCATAAATTTTTGTAAACTACATTATTCTACCCATAAACTTTCAAAATTCTTGTATTATCGTAAATTTTACAGAATATTACACTATAATATTATGAAATACTATGTCGTAAACTTTCAAAATTTTTGTATTTTTGTAAGTTCTACATAATATTACATTGTAATATTACAAAGTATTACGTCGTAAACTTTTGCATAGTTTACATTTTATAATATTACGTAATACTACATCGTAATGTTGCAGAATATTACAAATATATAATTTATGTAATCTTACAATAGCCTCGTAAGTTTTCATAATATTACAGAATGTAAGTTTACACAATATTACGTCCTATTAAATTTACTGATGTAGTAAATATAATGAAAAATATTGGAATACATTTTGAAATGTATAAAGCTGGAAAAAACTCATCAAATACTTGGAATTGAATATTTTTAATGGGACTATCAAACTTAAAATATTAGTAGGATTTCTAATAACAAATTTTATTAATAATGAATATGGAATTACTGGGTTTGGATCACTTACCCGACAATTATTTTGCCGACATTCATTTTAATGATGATAATTTGATCGACAGGGTCATTTCACTGACATTTGTTTCACCGACAGTTATTTGACCGATAGGATCATTTCACTTTACTGACAGTTATTTGACTTATACAGTAATTATTTTAACCGTTAAAAAAATAAAAATTAATTTTAATAAAATAATTATTATATTACATTTTAAATTTCTTTATTTCTTTTAATTATTAAATAAAATGATCTTTATTGTAATTAAATTGATTATGAAATGATAAAATAATAAATTTACCATTTAAAATGAAAGGTTATAGGCAATTCCCCAAAGAAAATTCATGACTGTTCTATTATTCCTATCACTATAAATTGTTTGAATTTAGGATTCACGGTCATGATCTTTTTTTATAAAACTCGTGATAATCCTCGTAAAATTAACTCTATTTCACATTGAACTTGATTTTGCTCTTTTTGGATTTCCTTTATAATTTTAAACATATCAACATGTGCATTACCCACCAATGTTTCCCATCTTCGATGCCAAGCCTCAACAAAATTTTGAGTTCTAGGGAAATTATTATCAATATTATCAGTGATGACCAAAGCGAAGATGGAAATAATGGTTCAGCTCGAATTATATTTCCACTTCTTGATATACGTCTTATTCTGCCGTAAATATAATAGATTTCAAACCATTCCATAATTCTATCAGCTTTCTTTGGCATAATAGTTCTTAACTCATTAAAAGCTATAGAAATATCATCAGGAGATAAAAATGCAAGTGCAGGATTATGACAAATTAGTAAACTAAAATTTTTGTCAGTTTCATATTGGATAGCAAGACCAAATCCTTGTACTTTATGATAAATATTTTGAGACAAATGAAAATGACACCCTTTGTTTTAAATCCTTTGAAATTTTATATAGACAGCATTAATTGCAGGAAGTTCAAAATCTGTTAAAACAAACTGCAGTTGTAGATCAATATTATATTTATCTCTGAAGTCAATCAAGTTTTGAAATAATATTCTATAGTATTCTTCAGATTTGCTAGTTATTAATACATAAACAAGAGGTAAAACTCTTGAATTTTCACTCTCTCCAACACATCTATGAATAGTATATAGTTGCTTGAATATAGTTGGAAGTGTTTTGAATGTTCCATCTATTATCCAGAAAGATGATTGATTTAGTTGATTAATATTAGCAACTATTGTAAACATCAATATTCTATTATTATCTATAGTTAAATCTTTAATTAAAAAATTAGATCCATCTAGAGTCTTTTGCAAATTTTCAGGAATGATAAAACTATCTAAAGACTGTGGTTTAGCAGGAAGATCAATATGTTACATTCGTTTAACAGACTGTCGAAGTGCATCGCGGAATAGAAGATACAGATATATTTCATGTGAAATATTAGCTACTATAGTTTGAATAATTTGTATAGGCTGATCATTAGTTTGTTGAGCCTGTTCTTTCAATACATTAACAACTTTTACAATATTAACTCGACTTGCTTCAGCAGCATGGTTATGATTAGAAACATTTTGAAGTTGATGCTGATCTTCAATTAATATAGTAGTTGCTCACCTATGACATTGTAATGTATTACGTTTTTCATAACACCAGTAGTATCTATTTTTCCAATTCTTATCTTTAACCATAAAATAGCCATTAATATTGATTTTTTCTTTATTACGAATAGAAGCAACTACTTCATAAATAATATTATTCATTATTTGAAAAAAATTTACAAAAAAGAAATAAAAGTTATATAAGAAAAAGGCATCACAATATCTTTATAATATCATTTCGCATTATATTGTAATGGAATCAAATTTCCTTTTATATATACATTAAATATCTATTTATTATAATTGATAACATTTCATTGTGATAAAAACAATTTTATATATAAATTAAATATTATTTTCACGTTATGTTTATAATTATAAAGCATTATGTAATAGTTTCAATTACTGAAATTGATTGCTAATTTTTTAATAAATAGTATTCTTGGCAAAATGGTTTATCAGCGAAATGAATTTCAGTAAAATGACCCTGTTGGTTAAATAACCATCGGTGAAATGAATATCGGTAAAATAACCCTGTTGGTCAAATAACCGTCGGCAAAATGAATGTCGGTGAAATAATTATTAGGTAAATGATCAGATTCAGAATTACTATTCAATATTTAGAAAGAATTTAGTTATATATATAATTTATACGAAAAGATTATTTTATAGATCAGGAAATAATGATATTTGAAAATGATGTAAGAAAATGAATTCAATTATTTTGTCATCCATCATAAACTAAATCAAATTCATTAGATATAAGATTAAAAGCTACTTATCTTTCTACTAGTATTACTCTATATATGCATGCTTTAGTAAATCATGTTTTATAATTTATGAAACAATTAAATCAAAAAGGATTATTTATACACTATTTTTCAACTTTAAGTATTAAAAAAGAATCATCAACAGATAAATTTTTATTTATAATAAATTTTTTAAGTTTATATATAATTAAATTTTATTTTATTTTATAGATACATTTGTTTTTTGGTAAATTATTATAGGTGGTAATAAAACAGCAAAATCAATATACAGTATCAGATGATGACTTTTGAAAATCGTCAATTATATTATAAATTACTTCTGAATTTAATCAAAAATCATTAATTAATAATAAAAGACAATAAATTTATATTATACTTCATTTAAAATTTATTTATTTGCAAAAATAATGCTATATAAAATTCATAAATTATTACAATTACTTAATATTTAAAAAATAAATTCCCTACATATAAGGTCTTTTCATTATTTGTATACCTTTTCTTTTTTCATCTAAAAATAATTTCGTAACTCTTATTTTGCTTTTGCATTAATACATAAGATGTTGTTAAAACATTAGGATCGGGATGTTTTTTTCTCATACCAATCTATGTTACCAAAAAAATTTCCACTTTGTTTACACCCATCCAAACCTTTAAATAAACAGCTATATTTATTAGCATATGATTTATTATGAAAGGTAGGTTTATCAAAAAAAGATTAACAAATAGACATTCTGGAAATGTTTCTATATTAATAATTTTTGTCCAGAATTTTTCATGTTAAAAGAAAGATTTTTTTTTAACTTAAATATAAATGTACTTTGATATCTTTCAAAATCTTCTTGAGAAGAAATACCCATTATATAAATATGTGGAACTATTTTGTTATTTGGATGAGCTTTGCATTCATGTTTAGAAAGTGATAATTTTGATTTCATAATTTTTTTACAAATTTGACATTGATAAATTTTTGACATAATAACTTTAAAATAAAATGATAAGTTAGTTTAAAAAATATATTAATAGTAGGAAATAATTATTTTTATTCTAAAAACTGTATTTTTGGATTTTTGTTGACTGCGAAAAAAATGAAAAATAAAAACTAAATATATAATTAATAATACCTTTATTAATCAATTCGCGATAATTATAACTATAGCATTTTTCTATTTGAAAACAATTAATTAGTTCTATAAATTATTTTTTACATTTTAAATGATATATTATTTATATTTACTCTCTAATTTTTAAAAGAATCTTTTTTAACAAACAATCATAAATTTTGTATCACTAATTAGAATTGCAGATCATTCTATTCAATTATCACAGTCACCCGGGCTAGCTGATTTTTAGGAGTCATATGTTTGCGATGGAAAACATGGGAATTATGGATTGCATGGCGAATGGTATAGAAATGGAACGGAATATTGTCTTAGCTGTAACTCTTCAAGCAATAAATTCAAGTTCGCGATCATAGCATAGCTTCATTTATAATGGGTTAGTCTCACGCTTGTATTTATTTTTTTTATCGTTCGCATGTATTAATAAATTAATAAAGTACCGTGAAGATTTTTTACGCTTATCACCTGATATGTAAATAGTAGTGACGTGACACTTTTTTTATATTAGAATTGTAAAACGTGATTCTCGTCTTTTAAAAGTTTTTCCGGGACTGTCAGACCGAAACTTCAAAAAATAAACTGAACTTGCAATTTTTAATAATTTATTTTAATTATATGATTTGCTGTTAATAATTTATTGTGGAAATAATAATAAGATGTATAAAATTAATAAAACTAAAGTTAATTATAAGCCAAATAGTAATCCTTTCATTAGTTCAACATTGGAATAATCGAAAAATATGAGACAAATAAAACTAAACACTAATTAAATTAACTAGCGTCAGTATCGTTTTCGCAAAATGACCAGTCTTGTTGATCAAAATTCCATTTACCGACATCTCCCTTAAATTTAAAGCAGGTATCTTGGTTAAATGGTCCTCTATGTTTTGTTTTTCTCCCGCTGCCCATGACCTTTGCATGAAGCCAGAATGGGTTAGCTTGTACATCTCGAATATGATATTTTAAATGCGGATCATTGGTTTCGCAATCCAACCATCCAGTTTCCATTACAGTATTGTCATCTTTATCTGTAGCCCAAACTTTACATTGCGTCCAAAACACAAATATACCGATTGTAACATTAAATGCTTCAGTTTGCTCAAGTCCCATAATACAAATTATGGCAATGATTAAAATAATGGAAAATTTCATGATGAAAAGTGAATAGTTGATTATTTTATGAAATTTGCTTGTGGTGTTATATCTGAAGTAGCAACAGGCGTTTCTGTTGTTATATTTATTAGTGGATTTGTTGGTATTAATAAAGTATTCCTAGGAATTTTTTTTTTAATAAAAAATTTCTGATGTATACTAGATTATATATATACAGTCAAAGCTCTTTATAGTGAACTATTGGTTCTAATCATTTTTGTTCATTATAATGAGATTTTATTAAGAGTTCACTATATTGAGAGAAATTTATTATAAAAAATTGAATTGGTGAATTAAAAATGATTTACTATAACGTGACTTTACTATAACGGGATTCACTACAACGAGCTTTGACTGTATACGTTTTCGCTTACTAATCGTATTCATTAGTCTCATATGAAATCAAAAAGGAACATTTACTCCTAAAATCAATTAAAAAAAAAGATCTTAAAAAAAAGGGAACTACTTAAATGCCCAATCCGGCAAAGGTCGGCGGAATTTATTATAGTTTGCTTGCTATAAATAGTGACTACCCTATAAGTAAATAGTGACAATAAAAGTATATGCCCCGGATGGGACAATTACGCAATTTCGAGAAAAATCATATGGGAGCGTTTCCAGTAAAATCACATTACGGATCATATGATTTACTATGCCTCATGACTTGATTTTACTGGAAACGTTCCCATATTTAAATCACATGATCATTTTTGGCGATCACCGCAGAAAAATTAAAAACGGCCTTTTTAACTTGGACGAAATTTCGCAAGAAATTAATTGATAGCATTAGCCTTCTTTTAATATAGCTTTTTACTTATATCATGAAAGTGTTAATGTATAGCCTTAATGAAGTTTACATATTATTTAGTAAAAAATCGTTAAATTAATTCATTTCGCAAACATATAACAACTTAATTCATCTCGGAAACATTATTTATATAAGATCGGAGATATAAAAAATAACTTAATGAGCAAAAAATAGAAACTTTATTACTTTATTTGAATCTATCTATAAAGTTAAATTTTAATTTATTTCAGATTCATTTGGTTTAGAACAAGTAATATCACGAAAGGGTAAATCAATGTAAAGTGAAACTTCTTTATATAATTCCTCCTGCCTTTTAGAAGAAAGTAATCTAGCACTAATTGTAGAGGGTGGAATATTGGAATCAAAAGAAAATGTGCGAAATACAGCTTTTTTATAATCATCTTCAATTTGTCTTTATAAAAAACAACTCCAGGATGTTATGAAGTAAAATAAAATGATGATACTTTTGAATATTAGGTAATTTTTTGAAACTCTCGAAGTAAGCTTTAAAATTATAATATTGGAAACCTTCTCCATTCAAATAATGCTGAGCAACATTTAGATGAACTATAGTTGAATGATTAACAACTGAAACTACATCATCCACAGTATTTACTTTACTTTTATGATAAAGAATCTTAATTAGATCAAAACAGCTATCACAAATAAACTTTGTGTGTCCTGGTATCATGAAATTTAACTTAACTTTATCATATATAACATAATCGATTAATAATGAATAAAAATATAGAATAGTTGTTTTTGTTTTGGCTCACACAATTATTATATGTAATAACTAATTTTTTTTCTCCATAATTAAATTTCTGAATTGTATATCAAACTAAACTTAATGTATAATTTACACCCTTTCCTTGTTTACTATCATCAGGCATTTCAGCTTCATCAATTACATAATTAGTCTTTTTGTATGAGAAAAATTACCAGTATTGCAGATTCTAAAAAATGGACTTTTCGAGTACTTTTAAAAAATAAAGATCCTATTTGTTGAGATTAATAAGGAATTTGTACATTTTGAGTCTAATTATATGTAATATGAGTAATATTTTTAAAAAATTTAAATAAAATTTATGATCCAATTATATTTGAATTATGTTTATTATCCTCAATTGCATGCATAATATTAGCATTATAATAATTGCAATCTTATTTGCACAATTTAACTAAGTCAAATAATTCTTCATAATTGTCAGTTTCATTTTATCTTCTATAGCATACTAAATGTCTAATTT